CCACTGAGCCTCATCCACTGTCACTGCCAGAATGCAGCCTTCAGGTCCCCTTCTAAGAAGGAATGGAGCCTCTGGGGTCAAGAAGACCCCTCAGACTGGCTCAAGGGAGTCCCTCAAGGGGTTGGGGGTATCTCTAAGTGGCAGATGCAGGGGCTGCCATCAGTGGGTCAGGAGAAGGAGAGCCCAAGACGGGGTGAGGCCAGATGTGATGAGGCTGACAGAAGCCAGAGTCATTCAGTAGTTGCACTTTTAGTTGCTGCTAGCTGCCCAGAGTAATGCTTGGTCACTAAATGCATGGAATACAAATGTAATAAATAAAATAAATAAATAAATAAAGCCCAGTGGCAGCACCAGAGGGCAACTTGCTACCAAGAACTCTGTGAATACTCCTGTCAGCACTGACCTTCTATCTCTTCCTCTCTCTCTCATCACACTCACACACTCACACACTCACACACACACACACACACACACACGGACACACACACACACACACGGACACACACGGACACACAACCGACCCCCAGCCTCCAGGCTTCTGTGCTGCAGAAGCAAGAACGAGCAGGAGCAGGAGCAGGGGTGTAGCTTTCCTCCCAAAGCAGAAAAAGAAAAAAAGAAAGTGCACTTGGGGATGCCAGCCCATGTTCTTTGACTTCGCTGGAAATCTCTAGATGAAAAACGTTACAGAGAGGAAGCCGTTCCCAGGGCCGAGAATAGCCTTCCCTAGTCCAGCATCCTCCAGATGGAGCAGACTGGGAAGTAGTCCAAGCTGGGCAGTGCAAGGCGGAGTGGGGAGCAAGAGTGGATTCCTGGAAGATTTTTGGAAGACAGCAAGCAAATCGACCCTCTTGGCCTGCAGTTTCTCTGTTGTGCAGACACCAGAGCAGTCACATCATCCACAAGCCGGTTAAATGGCAGCTGGAACCGAGCTTCTAATTACCAATGAAAAGAAAAGGCACCACTCAAGTGAGAGGTCAGTTGGGGGGTTTCATTTGTATGGATGTATGTGTGTGTTTCCAAAGCAGTTTGGCAGGCAACAGCAGTGTTCAGATCCAGTTCATGGAAGACAATGAGAACAGAGGTCATGTGAGGAATAAGGCCCCTCTCTGGCAGCCGAGAGCAGCAATTAGGGTTGCCCATCATGGAACACAAGAAGCCTTCTGCCACTGCAGCTAGGGCAGGTCTGGAGGCGGGAAAAGATCAAGCACAACTAATTGGCCTGGGTGCAAGAATCAAAATGGCCAAATGTCACATGCAAGAAGAAATCAGACTGGATAGTTGGCTTATTTACACTCAGAAAAACCCACACAGACACACAAAGGTGAGGGAGATTGCTTGTAAAACAAACATGGAGAAGAAGGCATTTTTGAGTGTGAAAAAGCAGACTCAGGACAGTCTCGTGAAGCATTATGGTATCAGTAGCAACCAGTCAGCTGCCTCTGGAGGCTCATAAGCCAAGCATGATGAGACTGGCTACTCCCTCATACATTCTGTCACTAGCACTTGGAAATCAGAGCTAGATTGCTCTGGAAGATGGAGTTTCTTCTTGCTAGCTGGATAAGTGAAACAGTGAAAGTTTGGGGAAGGGAGCCTACCTGTTCAGAGTTGGCAATGATGTTTCTGTGGGAGCCTAGAACTCTCTTGATGAGCCCTGTCATCACGGCTGTTGAAGACTTACTGCATGCTCCTGCTGAGCAGTAACAGCCAGAGTCTCTGGCTATTTTAGTTTCTTTTCTAGTGGCTGTTCCTCAAGACTCTGCTTTTGTTGTTCGACTTGTTCTTACATTCCATCAAGTCACTTCCCAATTTCTGGAGACCCTATGAATCAGTGATCTCCAAAAGGTCTGCTCACTAACAGCCCTGCTCAAAGTCTTGTGAATTCAAAGCTTCCTTTGAGTCAATCCATCTGACATTTGGTTCTTTCCTTTTTCTCCTATTTTCAACTTTTCCAAGCATTTTTGTCCTTTCCAGGGATTCTCATGATATATCCAAAACATGACAGCCTCAGATTCATCATTTTTGCTTCTAAGGATAGAGAGAGTTCAGGCTAGATTTAATGTAAGACCCATTTGTTCATCTTTCTAGTGTTTTAGGGTGTCGTATCCATAAAGCTTTCCTCCAGTACAACATTTCAAATCTTCTTTTCCTGTCAGCTTTCTTTATTGTCCAGCTTTCACATTTGTACATGGTGATCGGAAATACAAGAGTGTTGATGATCTTGGCCTTGGTCCCCAGTGAGGCATCCTTATATCTGGCGATATTTTCTAACTCCTTCACTGCTGCTCTTCTGAGTCTCAGTGTTCTGGTTTCCTGGTTGCAATCTCCATTTGGACTGATGGCTTAACCAAGGTATAGAATATTTCTAACCATGTCAGTTTCTTTATTGTTGATTGATGTAATTAAATGTGATTTATGTCCTTTTAACATTCAGCTGAAACCTAAGCATTCTTCAGCCAGTGTGGTCCACGGGGATTCTGCGAGTTGCATCCACCTTCCAAGGACCTGGAAGAGGATGTACAGCCTCAGGCTGGATGAGGCCCAGCCACCTGGAGCACCTCAGCAAGGCTTCTGCTCTTCAGCGACTAATCCCAGTTCTCTGCTGGCATTTCGGAGGCCCTTTCCAGAGACTCCTCGGGTTGTCCCTTCACCAATGCCCTTGGCTTACTGGGGTCAGCCATCTGGCCTCCACTTTCTTTCCCCAGAGTTATCTGACCTACTTGGCTCTGTGGTCATGTTCCACATGGCCAGCATTTCTGCCTATAATGGAATTTAAGCTTCCACAAGGCTTTTCCTTCCCTTCCATTTCCCTTCCCTTCCCTTCCGCCCCCACAATCCTCATATCGAAACAAAATTAAATAAGGTCCTTTTGGTAGTGGAGCCATTTGACAATTCTTATTAATGTAATCTCCCTTTCATTTGTTAATAGGCCTCTCTCTCTCTCTCTCTCTCTCATCCTGCCCCCAGTTTCTGATTCAGTGCCTGATAACCATGCGGGAAGCTATCAGTTTTCCTCTCTATAAGCCAGCCAGAGCCTCTTTCTTCTGCACAAGCAATATTCTGCTACCCTGAGAGAGACAGGACTGTTCACTGCCCATCCCTCCCCCGCCCCCCCAAATTGGTTTGCGGGCCACATGCAGTCCCCAACATCAATTTTATCTATCTCCCAGCCCCATCTGGATCCCACCAGCTGTCCTCAAATCTTCAAATATATAAAATGATCTCTATGGGCCCACAAATCGATATTTGTTTTCCTGGTATCCTCCTGGAGTGATGATTCTTTCTCTTTAGAAAGGAGAGGAGGTGGCCCTCCACTTACACCTCAGCTTCTGCTCACCTCCCAGCCCTTCACCCTAAAAAGGGGGTTTTAACGAAGTCAGAAGTGGACCTCCGGACACTTCCAATGTCTTCCTGTCCCCTTTTTTTCTCGTCTAGCCTACAATGGGAGTAGAATGATTGGGCACTCCTGGAGTCTCCCCCTCTCCGTCCACGGTCATCAATGGGACTGCATGCATGCCTTTTTATCTATGCCTGCCCATCAGAGGCAATGCTCTAAAACAATGAAACTCAGAGACTCAGACCCAGGCATGCCTGGATGCAGCCAACGGCTCTGTCCTTCAGAACAATTTGGGCCTGTAAAAGCATAGCAGTCAATGTTAACTAATTTAAATGTATCCCTCGGAGTGAGAAGCTCCCACGTACCAGTGCCAGTGTCTGGGTGGCAGGTTTTCCAAACCAGTGTATAAGTGGGGAGTTGGTTCAGTTTGAAGCACAGAGCCCTCATGGGGCTACAGTAGGTGGGACACACCCTTCAGCTGGAGTGCATCCTGACACATGGGACAGCAAAGGAAGCTGGAGGTTGCAGCTTCTTCTCTCAGCTCAGGCAGATACAGCACCTCCAGTCCTCCCTGGCTTTTATCATGGCTTAAAGATGTGGTTTTTCAAACTAAGGACTATACCCATTTATGTGAAACTTTCACTAATGATTTAGAAAACCCAGTCCAATCTCCTGCCATTGTTTTCTCCTGTTGGAACTAAAAAGCTCATAAAAGGCTCCTTTACTGTCTCCTCACTCTTGTCCTGCATTCAAGCCACCAGTACTTCTCAGAGAAGAGTTAGTCCCTGTAAAATGCAGAAGGGAGCTCCAAAGCCAAGCCAGACCAAGACCTTGGGGGCCCAATAACTAGAATCCAAAGACTTGTTCCAATCCAAAGAATTGTCAGAATGTCAGCCAGAGTCCTCTCATAAATTGAGGCCTTACCAAATCAATGCTATAGCCAGGGAACAGGCAGAGGAATAGCCAAGAAGCCATCCAGCTCCGGCTGGCTGGAGGTCTAGCAAGCACTAGGAAGGAACACTTAGATTGCAGAGCAAAGTTTTCGAGCCAGCTAGGACAGGATATTGTTCCACAGCATGGCATGGATGTTAGTTAGGGCCTCTGTTTTTATCTCCCTTGCATCACCTGATGTTACTTAGCTATTCGTGGCAGCAGGAGGAATGTGTTGGCTGAAGATGGTTGCGCTGCCTTGGTTGTGTTTCGACCTGCTGCCATCCTTGGGGTGGGGTGGGTGTCCTTCCTCTGAGGATTCATTTCTATCTGGGAGGAACCAGTCTCCTCTGGATGTGCCAAGATCTGCCTGGGCTGGTTGGGGGTTGGGTGCCAGATGGAGCCTCATGCTCATCTCCACAGCCCTCCATCTGAAGCACGTCATCCTCGGGGGAGGAATCTGCCAAGCCGACCACAGTGCTGCTAAAGGGGGGTGGTTCTCAGAATGACACGTGTCGTTCCAATGTGTAGGGCACCACAAATGTTGAAATGGAAGGTTTTCTTAGAAGAGGGCGTTGCTAATCCTATTCTTACGGAAACTCAGACGCACACACACACACCCGCTGCAGCCTCTTAAAAGCTCATTGCTCCTTGGCCCTCCCCACCACCCCCTTCCCCATACGGCCAAGTCCCCCTCAGTTACACCAGGAGAGTATCACCACAGGCTCTCACTCACCAACATCGGATTCTTTGTGAGTTTTGATGATTTCGGCCAGTTCAAAATTCCCCGCAATGATGGCCACCTGGAAGAGGAAGAGAGAAGGCAAAAGTCTGAGAGGGATTACAGAGACCTCACTTCTCTTTCTGAGTTTACGTATTTCTCACTGCCCTTTTACAAGCCTAAGCTAGCTGGAGAGCTCGGGGGTTGAGGTCCCTGGCTGTGGAACCAGAGGTTGGGAATTCGATTCCCCCCACTTGTACTCCCTAAGGGGAAGAGCCAGCCTGGGCGGCGAGCTGCACAATCCCAGGACACCCCCAGAAGGAGAAGGGAATGGGAAACCACTTCTGAGTAAGTCAGAATTGACTTGGCAGCACATGATTATTATTTATTTTGCAGGCCTCAAGCCAGGCCCACCTGCCCTATGAACATACAATTGAGAGATTTTAACTCAGTGCAAGAAGGAAGGATCAAGTAACTCTCCCCTCTCCTTCATCCCTTCATGAATTTTGCACATTACCCCCTCACTAAGTCCCTACCCATTTGTTTCCATCATGGTTTCTGAGCTACTCTGTTCTTAAGTGAGAGGAAAGCTGAGTCAGGATTTGGTTTTAAAATGCCAAATTATTCTGCATACAGCCAAAGCTGAACCTCCTTCAGACACTGCATGAGTACAGAGAAGGGCTTGAAAAGATTTCTCTGTAAATTACTATCCAGCAGACAAGCATGCATTTGAGGGGTAAGGAACAGACCTGCAAAGAAGAAACTGTTTTCTGAAGATGAGGGAGCAGGCAGATATGTCCACAGAGAACAACGCATTTTTATAAAGCCTCTCTCCCTTGTGACTGCAGGAGAAGCGGGAAAGAAAACCTCTTGGAGTGCTAGTTCCTATGACAGCACTAAGAGACGTGGCTGGAGGAGCAGCCCCACTTTTCCCAAGCCTCTGGTGCCACCTGAACACTGAGCAAAAAATGCTACATTAGGGGGTATTGCAGGCACATCAGGCAGCCACCACAGGTACGGGCGAGAGGAAAGGTGCAGACAAACTTCAAGAGCGAAGCAAAGTCTTCCACCAAACAGAGAGCGTGTTCTCCTGTGAGCTCTTGATGGCCCATCTTGGCCAGAGCTGCCATGAAGGAGAGCCGGCCACTTTGGACCAAGTGACGGGTTTGGGTCAGGATCATTCGGCTTCCAATCCCCATACTAACATGTGAAATTTTGTGGGTATATACAGAGTGCTAAAAATAATTAAGGGGTGTGTGGAAAAACACAGCTGTGAAAGCATGCATTGTGCTTTAAACTGCAGTTTACTAAAGGCCACTACAAACAATCAGCAGCTCCCCAGCTGACCAAAGTCCACATATTTATTGATTGATTGATTGATTGATTGATTGATTGATTGATTTTTTTTGTTTTTGTTTGTTTGTTTATATGTTTGTTTGTTTAACTTTTAGTCTGCCCGATTAGTGCAAAGCACTACAAACAATACTATACACCATACATAACACTGCCTTGCAAAATAACCTCTTTCATAGCTGATAGTCAAATGTGTAAAAAAATGAGAAGAAATGCAAAACAATGGAGAAGGAAAAAACCCTCCTAGAGTCCTAAAGTGCAGAGAGAGCAAATTGGTAGCTAACGAACTTGGTGTACCAGCACTTTATGTCCACGGCATTTTGCCTACTGTTAAAATGGTACCCAAGCAGCTTTCTATTCCCACAGGTGCAAGGATCCAGTTAGTGAAAACAACGGATGTTACCCACTATAGGGGCAACTTGCCAGCTCCGTAGGTTATGGGAGTCATATTCTGCCACCCACAGAAAAGCACTAGAGATTTCCATTGAAAAAAATCTGACAATTTCTAGGGATCAGAAATTTACTACACAAGCAAAAGTCAGTTGCTTACAGTTGAAGGGAAATCTAAATAACCAAGAGGCATATAAATGCAGGGAGACAAGAAACACATACACACAGTACACCACACCACACACACATACTGGATATCAACCTCACAGATATTGTGCCTACAGTTTTTTCATAGCTATAAGCATGATTTCTGTTTAACTGAAACATGCCTTTATCTTCTATGTTACATCTTTTCGAGAACTCTGAAGTTTTTGTGCATAGAAGCAAATTAGATGAATAAAGGTTGCAGAAATAGACAATCTGGTATTGCCTGGAATTATTGCAACAATGGAAAAACATGTACCTTGTATTCAGATGAATTTTGATATGATTGGGAACGGCTATCCAGCTTCATTCTGGGATTAACCCTAAATGGCGAAAATGCCAGCTGTGATGAACACAGGCTTCTGATTTTTCCCTACAGGTCTATACAGATCTATAGGGCTCTTAGGAACTTATCCAGGTGTCAGGCTTTCTGACCTGACTCCTACATGAAGGAGAAATTCAGCACTTGACACTGGAGCAGTGGTCATCTCCCCACCTCCTCTTCCACAGGCTTGTTGGACCACAAACATTCCTTCTGATCCTCCTGCCAAAGCTCCAACACAACATCACATGAATATCTTCTGACTGCCATCTCACCCCAGTGTGGCCATATCCACACAAAACAGCTCCTCTAGACCATGGTGTTGATAGCTGGGAAATTAAACTATATTCAGCTCTTTCTTTTCCCTGGAGACCTAAAGGTTTCTCCATAGGTGGAGAGGAGGGACAACCAATGAGAGGTTAATGATTACTTGTGATAATATGGAACTGTAACAGATCTGAGATGTTCCAACCTGATCTGAAGTATGAAATTGAGGCAGAAGCCCGTGAAATGCTGCTGTCAGTGATGTAAATTCACAGGATAGCATATCGTGCATTAGCAGAAATGGACAGATCCAGAAACAGCCATTAGACCATATTTCCTCAAAAATAAGACAGGGTCTTATATTAAATTTTGCTCCAAAAAACCACATTAGGGCTTATTTTCAGGGGGTGTTTTATCTTTTTTTTTTCAAGTAGAACAATCTACATTTATTTAAATACAGTCGTGTCATCATCTGGTTGCTGCACAAGGGTGGAGGGTGGGGTTTCACTTCACTGGAGCTTATTTTTGGGGTAGGGCTTATATGACGAACATCTTGAAAAATCCTACTAGTGCTTATTTTCAGGTTAGGTCTTATTTTCGAGGAAACAGGGTAGGCAGGGGAGGAGGTGAGCCACTGAACTCACTAACGAGAACACATTAAATTACCAAGAAGGAACATTGGGAAATTGAACAGAAAGCATCAGGGGCCAGCAGCTCCAGAGATGCATAAGCCAGATGATATGCTCACATTCAGTTGTACATTTAGAATTTATCTTTCAATTCAATAGGGCTAAAAAAAAGAGAGAGAGGTTTCTTTCCTAATCAAGACTTGGCTCCTTTCCTTGTCAAATCCTAAACAATTTGCTCCACCAGCACAATTAACGGAGTGCAATTGCTCTCTGCTTCTGAGAATTCTGGCCCAGATAGTGGTGGAATCAAGAAATGAACTCAGAAGAGGAGAGAAGTCTGGTTTTAGTTTTGAAAAATGAGTCCTCTGAAGTACTAAACTTTAGAAAGGTGACCCTTCCCAGAAGCTCCCATTTTTCTCTCTCAAGGAAAATAATGTCTTTGTGGAGGAAAGGGTAACCTCATAGGCCTGGGGACAGAGGATCGCAGAATCAGTTTGCCCACCCCTGATGTACAGTGGAGTAGGGGGAACTTGATGAACTTGGTGAGTAACGGGTCCATCCCCAGGCAGCACCCAGTGTGCTGGTTTCAGGTTCCCCCTCGGAACCTCATACTTGTCTCACACTCTTGCATGAATATGCGGGGCCACAACGTTCTGCTCCACACGGTGGAGCACAACAACCTGCCTTCTGGGGACACAGATCCATTGGCAAAATGATTTTGCGTGTGTGCAAGTTCCTTAGTTGCACAAAACTACAAAAGCGGCTGCTCTGCTTCATGACTTTTAAGGATCGGAAGCATTTGAGGGGTCGGTTGCATCTTTTTGAAGAACTGCTCGTGGTGCAGAGGTTAGACTGCTGTACTGCAGCCAAAACTCCGATCACGACCGAAGGTTCAATCCCAGGTTGACTCAGCCTTCTGCCCTTCCGAGGTCAGTAAAATGAGTACTCAGCTTGCTGGGGGGTGGGGGGGAACGTAGCCTGCGTAATCAACTTGTAAACCGCCCAGAGAGTGCTGTAAGTGCTATGGGGTGGTATATAAGCAGCACGCTTTTGCTTTTGCTTTGCTTTTTGATCTTGCTCTATATGTAGGCTGGGGTGGGGTTTTGTTTTGTTTGTTCTTTGCTTCTTAAAAAGCCAAGGACTTCTGTTGTAGTAATGGTGACATACTGGGCATAAAGAATCTTCAGCTTCCTTGACAATGTGTCTTGTCAAGAGCTCTTTACTGATGAGAATAAATCTACCCAGTACTGTTCATGTCCCCAGAACTAATAAAGCCTTCAAAAAACAGAGAAAAGGTGCAGAAAATCATCTGTAGACAAAATATAAAGGATCCATTACCCCTCTTCCTATTTCACAATTTTTTTTTTAAAAAAAAATTCATTTCCAGAGAAAGGAGCAAACCCTTTGGCCTAAAGCCGGACCTACTGAGCGGTGTTATACAGAGCCAGGAATTCAGCACCATTTATCCCCTGCAAAGCACCAGGTCCATGGGGATGTTCAAATTTATTCACTACTTCTTGCCAGCCTCTTTTTCTGCAAACATTTAAAACTGAGGGTTTTATAGCACAAGTTTATCTGCAGATCACATCCTCTGACCCACACAGTCTGGCTGTGAGAGAGAAATGAGTCACTCTTCACATGACCTGAGACCTTTTAGTTGGACGGCAGCTTTCAGGTTAATGTTTGTTTTATGATTCTTCAGAATTCCCAGGATTGACTTCTGTTATGAAAGCAGGTGAGAAGGTGCCTCCCCAACCCAGACTTGCCAATTTCTGTCCCCCCTCCACCCCCCTCCCCTGCAAATGTAATTACACCTTCGCTCCCTGCCCAGGTCTCAGCTAGGAAGGCACCTCCAGCCGATGTCTGCTTTGCTGTACAGCCCATTCTCTGGGTCCTGTGGGGTGGGAAACAGGGGGCTGGGCTGGGCTGGGCTTCTCTCTCTGGAGTCGTAAAGCTCCCTGCTTGGCAAAGAACAGCCACCTCCCTCCTTCCCACAGGAGTCTTGCTGACAAAGGGCTGTGACAGAAATAGCCCTGGACGTGTCACTCGCTCTGCCCGCATGCCAACACAGAAGTGGTGCTGAGGGATAGCCTCTCAAGTGCAGTCCTTCCCACATCAGTGAGACACATACACACACCCAGGGACTGCTCCTCAGCATCATCCCTACAAAACTGCCTGGTGGTGGTAGGGCCCCCCCCACACCCTGCCCCCCCTCCTTCCAGTAAAGTTGGCATTGGGAAGATTGAGGGATTGCTCTCTCTCCTCCAGGAGTCACTGACCATTTTCATGGGGAAAAGCACAGGAGGAGGGCTCGAATTCTACTTTGGAAAGAGGGCTTTGAAGAAATCAGAAAGATACAAGGGCCCTTCAGCTAGTTTTCAAGGCGGCCTGTCACCTGTGGTGTTTCCCAAAGATACTAATCCACGTGTTTTCACTGAAAGAGACAGTGCAGAGTGTGCATTTCCAAGAGGTCACTGAAATAGGGACGTGGTGGCGCTGTGGGCTAAACCGCAGAAGCCTGTGCTGCAGGGTCAGAAGACCAGCAGTCGTAAGATCGAATCCACGCGACGGAGTGAGCGCCCGTCGCTTGTCCCAGCTCCCGCCAACCTAGCGGTTCGAAAGCATGCAAATGCAAGTAGATCAATAGGGACCACCTCGGTGGAAAGGTTAACAGCATTCCGACTCTAAGTCACACTGGCCACGTGACCACGGAAGATTGTCTTCGGACAAACGCTGGCTCTATGGCTTGGAAACGGGGATGAGCACCGCCTCCTAGAGCCGAACACGACTGGACAAAAATTGTCAAGGGGAACCTTTACCTTTTTACTGAAATATCCTTAGGGATCTCATGTGGCTTATGGCACAAATGTTTTCTGTGCCCATATGTAGCCTGTTCTGGCCCGAGTGCCCTCTGGATCTGCCTTGGAAACTCTCGTTCCCTATTCACATTTTCAAGACACCACACTAGAATGGTGAAAAGGGTTCCTGGCACCCAAAGAGGGACAGGTGTCCGGACCAAAAAACAAAAAAAACAAAAAAAAACAAGCACAGATCCCTAGCAATGTGATGGATCAGTTTTGTGCTACACCTATTCCTTCAGGACTCTAGTGGACCTTTTTCCTGGGATGGGCTTGAGCCCCCCAGAAGCTTCCTTGGGCATATCAGTCCCATGCTCTGGGCACTGAGGGGGAGCCCAGCAGCCCAGCAGATTTTGCCTCCTCCAGTAGCTCAAGAAAGGGAGGTGGGCTGCATTCTTCCCAAGGCTGAGAAATCAGAGTTTTATTTCCCTTCTCTTACCACTTCCTGCCCTCCTTATAGCAACATCTCATCTGTTAGGCTTTGTCTTTCCCCAGAACTATACTCTAGATCCTAGGTTCTTAACCTTTGTTACTCGGATGTTTTTGAACTGCAACTCCCAGAAACCCCAGCCAGCACAGTTGGTGGTGAAGGCTTCTGGGAGTTGCAGTCCAAAACTCCTGAGTAACCCAAGGTTAAGAACCAGTGCTCTAGATCACAATCAAACTGTTGATGGGACCAATGTGTGAAAAAAGGCCCAGAGAACTCAAAGCTCCTGCCTGTGAAACAGCTCTTCTGGAAAGTGCAAATTATGGGTTCCATAATTTAAACTCTCCTTCCCTAATCATGCACAAAGGGGTGTCTTGGATCCCTTTGATCTCTCAGCACCCTTTATTTCTTATCTCTTTTTTGTTCTCAAAGCCACTTTGAAGAGGGGAAAAAGTCAGCAAAGAGACTTGTGGTCCCTTAAAGGCTAACCAATTTTATTTGGCATCAGCTTTCCTGGTGCCCAGCTGACATCTTCATGCATCTGGAGAAATAAATAAAACTGGTGAGTCTTTCAGGCCCAACAGGACCCTTCATCATTTCTGCTGCAACAGATAAGCACAGCTCCCTTCTTGGACGTTTCTGGATGGAAGAAAACAGTGCATTGATGCTAATATAAACCAGGGACAGGCACCTTTGGGAAGTCTGCAGCCAATTTTCTGCCCCAGAGACAAACATACACACATAAACCCGGGAGTCACACAGACTGCCAAAAAGGCTGAGTGAAACTAGACAAAAACTCTAAATAGCTAGAAACCTAATTTTAAAAACTGGTAATTTTTATGTTAAATGGTGCAGGGGAGTCCTGAGAGGTATTTAATTTCTGGAGGCTTCCAGAGATGCAATTCTCCTCCTTTTGCTGAAAAAGAAGGGGGCTGGCGGATTGCTAGGAATGCAAACACAGCTTTGGGGGAAAACCTGTAGTATGGACTCTGTTTGGCCACCCCAAAACAAATGAACAAACCTATAAATGGGAAGTGAAAGGAGACCCAAAAAAAGGAAGGGAAATGCTTGGAAAGCAAGAGAATGCACAGAGGAAACAAGAGATGAACCCAAGCATGGCCTAAGGATGCACAGATGAGTGTCCGAAGTCCAGGAGAGAGCATTAATTCATGCTGCGTTCTGAGCACGAGGCAGCAGCTGGAACCCAAGGCTCTCAGGTCAACCCTTCCTCTCAAGTCAGCCCAGGGCAGGCACAGGCCAAAGCTGGCTGGACCAGTGTGGGTGCCAGATGCTCAAGTCCCTTATTCCCAGAGGGAGTTTTTGCATAACCAGAGCTTAGAAGTAACTAACTGCATACAACTGTTGCACGTTAACTAGTGACAGTTCCGCAAGAAGGGTGTAACTAAGACACTTTCCAAAAGCAACATAAGAAGCAGTGTGATGCATAACACTTTACTTTCAAAAGTTACAATTCAAGGGCCTTTTAGAGCATTTTCAGACATACTGTATTATGACAGCTCTTTTCCCCTAAGCTTTATGCCATTCTCTTACTAATCCTTTGTGACAAGAGAAGCACTGTTTCGTTTCGTCTTTTCTATTATCGTGTTGTCAAGGTGCAATATCAGAATTGGCTACTAGAGGGAACCAGAAAGCATATCCCCATTTTTTTCCTGGTATGCTGGTACAGTAGTAACATAACATGATCACAGCATGCAGCCATTGTGTTTGAGAACTGTGAACTGTTTTCAAAAACAGAGCAATCACAACAATAACCTGGCAGCATCAGGCTAATGAGAAAGGCAATGTGTGTTGTTGTTCTTTTCCTTTCTTAATGGCTAGTCTGTTTATGACACCACCACCTCACCTTCCCTGCCAAGGAATACCTTTCCTTTGTGTCTCCTCTCGGCCTAATTAGCCCTATTCTGCCCAGGACTTTGCAAAAGAGGACTCTAACTTAAAAAGAGAGAAACATCAGGCTCCTTTGCTCTCTTTGTAGATGGAATAGGATGATGGCATGGATGGAGGTTGGCCTGAAGGAGAGCCTTTGACATCCTTTGCCTTTCCTTCTTGAGAAAGACGTGAGTGCCTGAGAAAGGGAGCAGGAGGCACTAACGGAAGAGCTTCCATTCTGGGATGGGCTGGGGGGAGCCTTGGCTTTCCTACCTGGAATGCCGTCTGACTGTTGTAGTTCCGGATCTCTTTACTTGCACCACGGAAGAGAAGAACCCGAGCACAGCTCTCCTGGTGGAAAAACAAACAGGAGTCACATTAGCTTTGGAACAGGGAGGTGATTTTCCTGTGTGAAAGTTTTTTTTCTCACTTCAAAAATTTCTCAGAAATGTTGTTTCAACTTTTTCTGGAAAAATGCCAACTGTACAGGATTCACGAAATTCATCAATAATGACAGCAATGCTGGGAAAATTTGATGGAAGTAGGAAAAGAGGAAGACTAAATATGAGAGGGAACAATTCAACAACGGAAGCCACAGCCTTGAGTTTATAGGATCTGGGCAGAGCTGTTAATGAGAGAACCTTCTGGACGTCACTACTTCACATGTTTTCCATAAGACCTGCTAGCACAAAAACAGGATTATGACAATTCTTGCATAGAATGACACGTTTCCTGTGCAAGAGTCGCCTGAAAAGGACATTAAGCTGGGGGGGGGGCACTGTGCCAGACCAAAGATACGATTCACCTGCAGGAATGTTGTGAGGATCCTGGTTCTAGTAATGAATGGGACAGAAGGGGTCGTAACAAAAATACCATCCTATAGCAGCTTTGAGCTTTTCCTGCTAGTTGCTGAGCCTTAGGAGAGAGGGATTCTGAGCTGTAAGAAAAGGGAAACACTCTGGACAAAATCTTGGAAGCCACCTAACAGGGAACTGAGAAAGAAGCTGTGGCCGTCTGGGAAGCCCAAGGAGCAGGATGGCACCCCAAGACAGCTGGATTTGGCCACAGGTTCCTTACTCCTGCTTTAAGAGGAGATGATGGGACTGGGAGCTGGACTGTGCCAAACATCTGGGAGCACAACGAGCATCCCTTGCTCTCACCCTGCTGCTCCCTACAATTGGTCAGGCAGCTGCCCAGGAGGGGACCCATATGGAGCACAAGGCAGCAGTCATGACCTACTAGGATTTACCTCCGGCTTCCTGGAAAAAGAATCAAGGCACTCCTCATCATGGAGGCTCCTCTGACTATTTCAAATTCATCTAAGGATTTTATTATTTATTTATTCAGTTTGTACCTCACTCCCATTAGTGTCACAGCACTACTCTGGGCAGGTTACAACACATCTAATAGAAAACAAAAATAAAACCAGAAACATTAAAACCAACAATAATAATCCTTAAAAAAAAAACCAGACAGCACATCCAGAGCAGATGGAGGAAAAGAAGGGAGGGAAGAAGAGGATGGGAGAGAAAAAGTGAGGGGGAAGGTGATCAGCCAGGGTCGGTGTGGAAAGCCTCCCTGAAAAGCAATGTCTTCAATGTGATGTACTCTTGAAGGCTCGAGTGTCTTTAATTGCTTCCTAAATATCAACAGGGAGGGAGCCAGGCAGAGCTCCTCTGGATGCTGGTTCCATAAAGATGGAGCCACCACGAGGAAAGCCCTACCTCTTGTAGACGACTTATTTTACAGATGTCTGCAATTTTGTGTGTGTGTGTGTGTGTGTGTTGCCTCAGATCCCTCTAACAGGACGAAAATGAGATGGAAACCAAATCAGTGAATAAAGACACAATAAAATGCAGTGACAAAACAACAGCTGAGAGGGCGGCTCCACGCTCACTGACCGAGGGGTCTCACCTGGTTGTAGAGAGCGCAGACATGGAGGGCTGTGTTCCCAGAGGCATTCTGTGCAGTCATGTCGGCCCCATAGAAGAGAAGGTGCTCCAAGTGCTGGACGTGTCCATATCGACAGGCCTGCTCCGGGCAGGAAGGGCCAAGAGGGGCGGGAGGAAGAGAAACGGAGAGAACAAGGGGAGGGGGGCAACAGGTGAGCCCTGGGTGCAAAAGCCAACTCTCAGAGCCTGCCCCCCCATGACCATTCCCCCATGAAACTTAAGGAAGGTGCTGGAGGGGGCCACCTACCCCTGCCCCTAATTCTTCCAAACAACATGTTTTGTGACGCCACTGGGCTATCCGAGGCAATTTTGGTGATTGCAACACCCAGCTTCCTCCAACCAGCCTGGCTTCTGCCTGTACTGGTGAGGATGCTGGAAGATGTAGTCCAAAGAGTCACTCTTCCAAATCCTGGATAGCAGCAGTGACTCGTTGGCCTGGGGGCCAGGGCAAGGGGATTGGTGAATATTAAGATGCTTGCTTGAAGTCCAGACTACTCTGTTCTTTGACAATGTCCCTTTTTTAAAGAATCATTTTATTTTGTTTTACTTGTGTTTTTAATATCACTCTAATTTTGAGTTTTAATTTTTTTCTTTAAATCTTTTTAAATATTGCAATTATTATTTTTTTTCCTTTTAAGTTTGTTTCTTTTGATATTGTAAGCCACCTTGCATCCTGCAGGAGAAAGGCAGAACATAAAATATTTAAATAAATAAATAAATAATGCCCTGAGCTCTCCTCTCTTGCCTCTAGAGGTGCCTCCACCCCAGGAACTATCTTTCATGCAGGATCATCCCCAATTCTGGAGGAAACCAGAAGGGCAAGAAACTGTCTCATTGCATAAGCACACCTGCAGGCGCTTGGCTCCTAGCATGGGCCTTGGCTGCTCCTCTTCTGGGATAACGCCAGCGTAAGCACAATGGTTAAACTGTAGCACTACAGTCAAGACTCTGCTCCCAACCTGAACTCAATCCCGGACTGAGGGCATCTGGCTCGAGGTTGACTCAACCCTCCGAGGTTAGTAAACTAAACACCCACCTCATGAGGGGCGGGAATGTGTGGCCTGAATAATTAAATTGTAAACCACCCAGAACATGCTCTAAGTGTTATGGGGCAGTATATAAGCAGCACACTTTGCTTTGCTTTTCTACCTCTGCCACCACCCATATGCCAAGCATGGGGACAAACTCTGGGGATCTCCCCTACACCCCACCTACACCACCCAACAATCCCCCTCCAGCTCTCACCCACCTGGTGGATTTCTTGCCAGCCATTCTCGTCCACACAGCCAACCTTGGCGTAGTCGTGCAAGAGCAGCTCACAGCAGTAGGGGTCCCCGCCCACCATGGCACTGTGGTATAGAGGCGTCAGTCCACGGCTGTCCTTGTAATCAGTAGAGGCCCCCAGGTCCAGCAGCGTCTGTGCAAACACAACCACAGGCAAGGTTGGGAGAGTCGGCCAGGGTTTCCGGGACAACCCAGCACAAAGGGGGAAGCAGGGCAGCCAGGGGCCTGAAATGCCACAAGGCCTTCTGAGAATCTGAGTCACCTTCATGAGCAATGGCAAAGGGAGGGGATTGTTCTGTGCAGAAGAGAATGTCATAGCCATCTCTCTCCTTGCCACCTAAATCCGAGGAAGCTGTTTCGGTTCCAGATCAATGTTTGGTATCAGTCATGGACTGGATGAGGGTGAATAAACTGAAACTTAATCCAGACCAAACAGCGGTGCTCCTGGTCAGTCGAAAGGCAGATTAGGGTAACAGGGATGAAGGCTGTGCTGGATGGGGTTACTCTCCCTCTGAAAACACAGGCAGGCAGCTACGGGGTGCTCCTGGATTCACCTCTGAGCCTGGATGCCCAGGGCTGGGCAGTAGCCAGGAGTTCATTAGCACAATTAAAACTAGTGCACCAACAACATCCATTTCTTGGGAGATGTGATCTGGCCACTGTGATACACGCTCTAGTTACATCCTGGCTGGATTACTGTAACACGCGGTATGTGGGGCTGCCCATGGAAAGTGTCAGGAAACTTCACTGAGTCCAAAATGCAGGAGCCAGATAGCTGACTTGGGCTGGTTACAGTGATCACATAATCCCCGTGTTAAAGTAGCTCCACCGGCTGCCGATCCATTTCTGGGCACCATTCAAAGCGCTGGTTTTAACCTGTAAAGCCCTATATGGCCTGGGCCCAAGCTGTCTCAAAGACCACACCTCCCGTTATGAGCTGGCTCAAGGGTTAAGATCATTTTTGTTGTTGTTTAGTCAACAACGACTCTTCATGACCCCTTTATGGCCAGGCCCACCTGTCTTCCACTCACTGCCTCCCGGAGTTTGGTCAAATTCATGCTGGTCGCTTCCATGACCCTGTCCAACCATCTCATCCTCTGCCGTCCCCTTCTCCTCTTGCCTTCACACTTTCTCAACATCAGGGTCTTTTCCAGGGAGTCTTCTCTTCTCATAAGATGG